ATGTCTTTCCATTTGGCATATGGCAATCATGTGATATGCTCTCAGGAAAATTTTTCTCTGGTAACCGTCTCGGAGCAGATCCTATTGCTCAACTATAATCTTTGCCTCTCAGGCTATCAGTCTTTGATTTGTGAGAATGGCAACCCGAGCAGCTGTTTGTGGCGTTGTTTGACATTTTGAAATAGCGTCTTGGAACTCCCGGCTGTATGTATTGTTTGGGAGCACGGTCTATGCAGGTTGTTGTATGACGTCAGATACATTATTTGGCTTGGGTCATAATAACCAAGGAGTCTTGTTTAAGTGTGGCTAGCATATGTTTCTTAGGTAATCTACATCATCATCATCATCATCATCACGTAGCAGGTCCTTTACAGAAGGTGACTTTCATTACTGTCTGCTGAAAAAAAAAACTCCGTCTCTCGCCAGCTCTCCGCCTCCTGTACTTTCACATTCAAGGAATCACTTATATACTGTGCCCATCTTCGTGCTGGTCGGCCCCTGCCTTCTTTATCTACACTTTATGTATTTGGTTAATCTACACTGCATTTTATTATTATTTTTATAGTCATTTATTATTATCATCACCAACAAGATAATTATTATCATTTTTAATTTAATAATAATAAGTATCATCATCTTATCATCATTATCATCTTTAAAGTCATCATTGTCTTTGTAATCATCGGTATCATCTCTTTAAAGTTATCAGGGCTACCTTCCTAATCATCCATTGCCATGCCGCCAGTGCAGGCGATCACATTTGTGACGTGACGGGTGGTTTAAATGTTTATAATGTTGTTGAGTAGGGATGTTCCTCTCAACACATTTCTTCCACCAGATTAACCGAACTAAAACCTGAGCTATGTTGCTCTCAGACAAAGTCCTGGATATCCAAGAAAACAGCCATATTGGCTCGTTAAGTACATTAACATTAGCTGAACTTGGTACCCACAAGAGAAGAAAAGGAATTTTAGATGTCTATAGCATTATACTTAATGAATTATTAGACAGGGCAAGTGATTCCTCCGTCATCTACCTTCTCCCGGTGTTATTATGAATAATTAAAGAATTATTATCATTATTATTTGAGCCCCCACCAAATGTAATTCTATCTATCAGTTTATTTAAACAGGTAAGACTGAATACACTTGGAATTTAACAAACGATGTAGTATAAAACTTGACATACAGCTTTATTTACTAACAATGATATTCCCAGTTTGTTGTATTTACACAAACAGTGACTGGATAATGATAGTGATAATGATAGTGATCAGCTTCAGCGAGAAAACAGCTCCGGGGTTTAGAGGGGTAGAATGATGATATGGTAAGTCAAAATAGGTTAACTTAGCTTATAAGCCTCTGACAGCCGTGAGGAACTGTCAAGCTTGTCCAACTCTTCCTTGCCTGTTTTCTGCCTGTTTCAGCTTATTCTCCACTTCATCCCCACCTCGGTCTCCACATCGTTCTCCACCTCGTTCCCAGCTGGCCGAGTCTAACACAATGTAGTCTACTTCATGGACTGATCGTCACATGGGCGCTGTAATCATGGAAACCAAACACATACGTGTAGTATCTTGACTTACACTAAGAATACATGTATCAATTAATATAACATAGAATAATAAAATATATCCCATCACTCCTCATATTCCACATTCTCTCCAGTCTAGTCTGAAGGTCTTTTGTCTTACATGGGCGTCACATATCCTGCCTTCCCTCAAATGCTATGTCATGATAGTTGACTTTCTAAGTCTGTTGTCCGTCTTCACTCAGACTTCCAAACATTGTTTTTACATCAACACGTGGGGCAGGTTATGTGCTGAAACTCCAACCATTTTATATGTGCATGCTGTCCTGAATATTATCTTTCAGTGACAGTAAATACGGTACACCCATCATTCTTCCCCTGGGGTTATAAATCCCCTGTTTAGGTAAACACATTAAGTGAGTACATGGTGGGCACACAAAACGTAACAGCATCCCTGCACATATTTGGGCATCATTTCCCACAGTCCAAACTCATATTTTGGCTGATCATGGAAACAATATAATTACATTTCATTATAGCAAATGTCATTGTTCACATCTTATTTTATACACATGAAAACACACAATGAAAAACATGTGACACAAACATACAAGAAATAGGAATAGTTTAGCAGTTCCCTAACTGAGATACTGAATACTCACAAAGAAACATTTCAAGCAGAATGTGCAGACAAATTAGGAAAAGGTAGTATAGACTAAGCTTAACTCCCTAACCTATGTATACAAGATTAAAATTAATATTCACCTGGGAACTTTCCAGCAAATGCCGAACACGACTCAACCAGGGAGAAAATACTTTTCAACGGTAGGTCTGAGTCTGTGGCCTGCTGGCGGCACTATGAGGTCAATCTACGATGTTCGCAGTATAAGTTTCAATCTATTGTCCAAATTAAACTTCTCCCTTTACTGGGTTCTACCCAACCCTCAAGACGATGACTTAAGCCACGCCTCGGAGGTAACTATTAGATCAAATTGGCTAACAAGTGACTTGTCACTCAATTCTGGACTGACATCCCTAGAGCAAACATTCTTAAGTGACCCAATCTAGTTTACAAAGAATCTAACTGGCAGGTGTTAAAAGACGTTCAGTGAAGCCATTGTGTTTCCTACTTGACCCAGATCAAACATTCCTAATTGCCAAACACATGTTCTCCCCAGAATTACACTGACGTGTTAAACTTTAAACTTCTCGTCGCCTCAATGTCTAGAGTCCGCTCAATTCATGTTAGGTAATCTTTATGACCTACGGTCCAGCTCAGGGAAGGTGTGATACAAAGTTCCCCGTTCGCTGGCCTCTACAGTGTGGTCAGGAGATAATATTCTGACACTGGCATGAGAACATAATTCCTAGCTACAGTGTAAAGTTTTAGGTAATATTACCCAAGGTTGGGTCGCTTTGTCTCGGAGAAGGCCTGGAAACATTTAAATCAAGTTGGTTTAAAGTAATATTAGGGTAAAGGGCAGAGTAACTATAATCCTCTCTCTTTAGAACCAGAAGAACTTATTACGAGTACTAACTTCTGGAACCACTGAGATCGTTTCGTGACAACATTCCTCATCAGTTTTTCGGCGTTCTTTGTTCTAAAATGGCTTGTTCTGTTACTTATTGCCAGCGCCACTGTACCCAAACATCCTGCAGCCCCTCCCCTTCCCCACCTCCTTTCCTCACCTCCTCCAAAGAAACCTAAATTCAAACCGTTGTCTTCATTTTTAACACAGCCCACTGGAGCATTACAATCTACAGTATAGTCCAAGAATGATCTGTCTACAAAACAGCAACAACAAAGATGGCAAAGTCTACAACCGGGGCAGTACAGGAATGGGTCCAACATCTATGACGTCTCAAAAGTTCCCCGGAAGGTCGATGTAAATTCTCCAGTCAGTCGTGGTTTTTAACACCTATCAACCCCCCCCCCCCCTCCACCGACCTCTCCTCCAGAGTGGTTTTGAGAATGGTGTTATATCTCCTTTCAAATGACAGAAAAGCATTTGCTGCCGAAAATTGCAACACATTAAGGCAGCGTTTCTGAAACCTTACCAATAGACATTGTTTTCTAAATACACTGCATATTCTTGGCCTTCTTCTTATTTATAAGAATATTGTCCAGGCACCCCTGGCACACGCTCGCGACACCCCGGAGTGCCGCGGCACCCATTTTGAGAACCGCTGCATAAGGGGCTTCTTGATTTCTTCTATATTCTATCCCCTAGTTGAACGTAGGCCCGCAGTCAGTTCACGCCATTTCCACCCATCCTTAGTTTTTGCTTGCTACTCACCCTATATTTTCCCCATTTTTTAAACTTGACTCTCAAGTTCCTTTCTCCATGTGTTTTTTAAAAATCCTTCTTTATTTCTGTGCCCTTGTGGGTTCCAGTTTCAAGCCCTTCTAGTTATATTGTTCTCGAATTGTCTCAATGTGTGTTGTATCGAACACCAGCATCTTTTCCATATCTCAGAATTCGCTGGAATTTGCTTCTCTCCCAAATCTTAACATTAATGATCCTATCATCCTAATTCATTTCCTGTGTTTTGCACATGCATCAATTAGTTAAGGTTTTTATATATTAGTAACTACTTTAGTGTGGGAGGACGCCAGGGGCTGTTTATAATCTATTTGTTTAGCTGCACTTATGAGAACAATCTGGCAGCTCAGGGAGGAACTACTTATTGTCCTAACCACATTTTCTTTTCCTCACCTCCATTCTTCTGAGTTTTCTGTTTCCTTCTTCCAGCTAGCACATTAGCTGTTCTCCGTGTTTTCGCGAGAAGCGTCTTATATTCTAGTGGATTCTTTCTGAAACTATCGAAATCTACATCTTTCATTTGCTGGCAGAGAGAATAAAATGGTTTAAAGTCGAGAGGAGCGACTTCTTTGCACCGTTTTATTCCATTTGCCGCGGTCTCTCTCTCTCTCTTCTCTCTCTCTGTCTCCTCTCTCTCTCTCTCTCTCTCTCTCTCTCTCTGTGTCTCCCTCCCTCTCTGTAGAATGGCTAACCGCCTGCTGAGAGTCTCGTTCATAACATATATTCCACAGCTCCAACGTCGATCCCCAATCATTAATACTGTTAATAAAGTAGAAGTAGAAAACATTTCGCGTTTTTATTAGTTGACTAGAAAGCCCGTGCGTCTAAAAACTATTATTGAAACAGAAGCAAAAGTTGAAGCTTAAAGTAAATTTGAGAGGATCGACTTCATTGCACCGGGTTTTACCCCTATAGCTCGGTCTCTCTCCGCAGAAAGATTCATACAGACCACGAACTCTGTAGTTCTGGCGACGATCCCCAGGGATTCCCGTACAAATTGCACTCGTGAACTAAAGAGCGAAGCCGGGGAACGAACCCATGACCTTCAGCAGGAAAGGGGGAGGGGGGAAGTTTCCTTCTCCAGCCGCCTGTCTTTAGTCAAAGTTATTTTGTGTTACCGGGTTTTTATCGCTTGTTGTGCGGTCCTAGTGGCCTAGTGGCTAACCCAGGTCCAAAACGCAAGAGAAGCGGGCATTGCATAGAACCTTATCCCATCAGAAGCTCAAGCTTCAGGGACCTCTTCTCAACCTAGCAAGGTATCTGTCTCTCTCCCTCTTCCGATCCTACTATAAAATCTCTTGGCACATTCGGGCTTTCGAATTTTTTCTTTTTTTTTGCAATCTATGTTACCTCCTCTACTTGTTAAAAAAAAAAAAAAAAACGGCTGCACGCAACAAGAGATTGTGGCAGTCGTCCTGATGAGAGCCTTGTGTTGGACGCTCATTGGCAGGACTGTTTGTTCAGGGGCCGTGTGACTGATGGCTTCCTTGGTACTCGCACAGATGAAAAATGGCGCGATGCCTGTCGTGCAATGTTGGTGGTGCCCGTGTGTGATTAAAATTGATCGCGTAGGCAACTGCTGGTCTGTTGGTGACTTCTGCTACCATCAATGATGAACTGCATTTCTAATGTCGGACTGTTTGTGTTAGCACTTCGGATGGCTACCGTATGCTTTAATGCGAGTGTATGCTAGATATGCTGAGACAGCAGTCTGTCAATCTTTCCACAAGGGACTGTGATAAACATTCTGTGTGTTTTTCGTTGGCACAGGAGCGGCGCAAAGATGGGGTGACCCGTTTGCTATGAAGCTGAAACTAAGACTACCAGACAGTTTATCGGTGCAACGGCCAGCGGACAGTACAGCCAGCTAAATCCAGGAACAGGACCTCTAAAACCAGCACTGAACTTGGGCAGCAAAGGAACAAACTCAGGTGTAATTGCACACCACAAAGAAACAGAACTAAAATAAGATAGCAAAGAAACCATCGTTGAGAAAGAAGGCCTTCAGGCGGCTAAAAAAAGGACACATATTGGAATTTTTGTTTTATTTCATACGATACGATACGTCGTAGTGGCGTTGAACTTCATTCATTCATTTATTCAAATTATAAATTGCGCCTGTGAAGGATAGTATTGCACAGGATTCTTTGAGAACAGCAACTGTAAGAAGTTTCCCAGGATGCCACTGCGATTCTTATTCAGATAATTCTCAAAGTTACGGAAAATGGGTCAATTTAAAGCCCATTAGGTTGCAAAGTTGGCACTGGGTCCATGCAAGACGAACTGGAGTTTTGGCTTGGCAAACAAAGGGAAAGATTTAAAGAAACAAGTTAGTTTCCTTGAAGGAAACACTATAAAAATCGCTTCACATGTTCGTATTTACAGCACATGCATATGTACGTGTGCAAGTGTGGTCTCTCTCTCTCTCTCTCCCCCCTCTCTCTCGCGCTGTTAGTGTGTTTGTCTCGCCATACACACACAAACACACACAGGCATACGAGTATTTATACAAATTAATGTCAAAATATGAAAACTGCCGACTTTTGTCAACATGATCCTTATTGTGGTATTCTGTTTAACTATGGATCAATTCACATAAAAAAAGAAAAAGCAGTTATAGTGCGTTTCAAAACTCATGCCGTCACATTTGCGTGTACATTCGTTTTACTGTCTTATTTGTAGGCAGATGGTTGTTCCTTGAGGCTCGGGCAGCTGCACTCCGACTTCCAAGGAAGCTCCCAGTTAGTCGATTCTTTCAACGTACTTACTAGATTAACAGTGGGTCTATTCATGTTTTCCCAAACAATGGGAAACCGGAACCCACAGGGAAAAATTCCTGTATCTAGGTCTTAGCAGGTAACGATTATACTGAAGAGAGTACGTTCCTCTCATGGTTTCGTTGTTGACAGTATGCAGATGGAACTAGCAGCTTAGCTTTAGTTAGTATTAGCTTTTAAACGACACAGTTGCTGCACAAGTGGCGTAAGCATCCAGTAAGCGTTATTTTCACTATGTACGAGACGTAAGCCTATTGGTGTATTTGTAATAAATAGTAAACAGGAATAGTAAACTGTGATAGTAAACTGTAATAGTAAACAATAATAGTAAACAGTAATAGTAAACTGTAATAGAAAACAGGGATAGTCAACAGTAATTGTAAACTGTAATAGTAAACAGTAATAGTAAACAGTAATAGTAAACTGTAATAGTAAACAGTAATTGTAAACTGTAATATTAAACTGTAATAGTAAACAGTAATAGTAAACTGTAATAGTAAACTGTAATAGTAAACTGTAATAGTAAACAGTGATAGTCAATAGTAATTGTAAATTGTATTAGTAAACAGTAATAGTAAACTAAAATAATAAAATGTAATAGTAAATTGTAAAAGTAAACTGTAATAGTAAACAGTAATAGTAAACTGTAATTGTAAACTGTAATAGTAAACAGTAATAGTAAACTGTAATAGTAAACTGTAATTGTAAACTGTAATAGTAAGCTGTAGTGGTAAACAGTAATAGTCAACAGTAATTGTAAACTGTAATAGTAAACAGTAATAGTAAACTGTAATAGTAAACTGTAAATGTAAACTGTAATAGTAAGCTGTAATAGTAAACAGTAATAGTAAACTGTAATAGTAAACTGTAATTGTAAACTGTAATAGTAAATTCTAATAGTAAACTATATTAGTAAACTGTTATAGTAAACTGTAATAGTAAATTCTAATAGTAAACTGTAATAGTAAATTCTAATAGTAAACTGTAATAGTAAATTCTAATAGTAAACTGTAATAGTAAATTCTAATAGTAAACTATAATAGTAAACTGTAATAGTAAACTGTAATAGTCAACAGTAATTGTAAACTGTAATAGTAAGCTGTAGTGGTAAACAGTAATAGTCAACAGTAATTGTAAACTGTAATAGTAAACAGTAATAGTAAACTGTAATAGTAAACTGTAAATGTAAACTATAATAGTAAACTGTAATAGTAAACTGTAATAGTAAATTCTAATAGTAAACTATAATAGTAAACCACAATAGTAAACTGTAACAGTAAATTCTAATAGTAAACTATAATAGTAAACTGTAACAGTAAATTCTAATAGTAAACTGTAATAGTAAACTATAATAGTAAACTGTAATTGTAAACTGTAATAGTAAATTCTAACAGTTAACTGTAATAGTAAACTGTAAAATAATAAATTTTTCTTTGGCAATGGGAAGTGTAAGCGGCGATATCAATCATTACCTGCACGCCTTGTCACTAAGACGACCATATCTGCCATGGTGTTTCTTCTGCCTGTGCCTTCGACTTCTGCTTTAGCTCTTTCAGATGCTGCTTTAATTCACTGATCCCAAAAACGCTATTGCTTTAACTAATTTATGCTTAAGTCTGAAGGAGTTAAAAAATACACGGAGCTTTAAATCAAAACCTTCAAAGTGCAATAGTCAATCACAGTACTCATGCCATTGTGGTGTAACCTGTCAATAATGTTAAAGATGTCAAAAGTGCTTTGCACGCTTCATCACTGTGCAGACGAACACGGTGACGTCATAATGACAGATTAAAGATGGCCGTCCTCTTTCGACATGCGTCTTTAAACTGTCACCATGACGTCAGTGTGTTCCTCTGCACAATGTTGCCTTGCGCTTGACACTCTTGACACCCTTAACAACAAAATTGGCAGGTTACAAAAATGGCATGTTTATTCTAGTTTCCATCACACTTTTTTGGGGGGTTTTCATTAAAGATCCCTCGCAATAACACCACAACAAAAATGATTTCATGCAACAACTGGAGCAGAGTAAATTACCGCTTTATTTGGATGGAAGACAAAAAAGTTCAAACTTCCTGTTGTGCAGGTTCCTTGTGTGGACTCATGGAACTGATTCTGATGGAAAATGAATGGCCATAGGTTCTTCCTTTAACACGCATGTTGCAAAAGGTGACCAGTTAAGTGTTTACTGAAATCCAGTGTATCGCGCAAAAGGCACATATACCGCAGGCAAGCTGTAAACGACAAAACAACATGCCAACAGCCGGTTGAAGGAGGAACACAAAAGGAAGAAGCAGAAGAATTTAGATGGGCAGGCCTGAACAAACACGGGGGCGTGCTGTTTGTTTCTTTATCTTCTTCTTTTGTTTGAGGTTTACGGTTTGAACAACAGAACAACATCATGGCACACAGGTTGTAACCCATAAGTGCTCCGTTCTTCTTCTAACTCAAGTCTGAGTCAGAAGAAGCTCAGCACAGTGCACAGGCTCTGTAGCACCGGTGAGGATCCTGAAATTCTTCTTCCTTTGTCATACTGCTTACGCCGTGAAGTGTCCAGAGAGGACTTTGATGTAGTTTCCTGTCTGTTGCTCGTTAGGTAGCTTACGTTAAGACCATGTTGTGTTTCTGTAGCGACTCTTCAACTCCTTCCACCCATCTCTTTTTTGTTCGGCGTTTGATACATTTTAGTGTTATAGTTGCGTATCCTTCACAAGACGTTGCAGAACCAACCCCAGCATTTTTTGGGCTGTTGTGGTTTTTTTAATACAAATTTACATCTAGTAGTTTGCAATTACTTTCTGGACAGTCGGATTCTCGATACCACTATAGAAACCTACGCAAGGCGCAAGGCCTGCAGCTGGGATCGAACCAGGCACCCCGCGTTCGCAACGCCTAAGTCACAGACGCCGACATTGTTTAAAACCGGACAATTTAAAAGCCTACGGGTGACGTCAGTCAATTCTGATTATTCATTCTCCCGCACTTCAAGTAAATGACAGACGATAGACCTGACCCCTGTAATCTCAGATTAGACTTCTCGGGTGGAACTTAATTTCATTCATTCGTTGACAGACACTCGCCCATCATATCTGTTTCATTTGAGTGCAAACAATGAGACGGTGAAATGCGCATTAAAATGCTATTGCACCTCACCGAGTTTCCCTGTATGTGTGGGATATTTTTGTTTCAACTAACTAGGAGTGGTTTCCACAATGCAGGCTGCTTGCAGTGTTTATTCAACACTTTTTGTCGCTTGGAGACAGCTGATTATTTGTCTGGTAATGTTATCCTCCCACTTGCTTCACTGTCTACCTCTTGTTCGCATGCCTTCATTCTCCCAAATGCGGTATAGTTTAAAAAAAAAAAAAAGAGTGTAATGTCTGTTAAAGTGCCCGATATATTTCCTGCATGCATTTATTTCTCTCATCAGCGCTGTTTGAAAATATTCCAAAATTATCGATTAATTTCCGATATTTCTAAAACAAACACACACGCGCGAGCACACACAAACATATAAACACATGCGCCCGCACATACATATATGTTTATATAAAGTGGTACCCGGGGTCACGAATTTAATTCGTTCTTTGCCTCCGTTCTCGAACAAAAATGTTCGCAAACCGAAACATTACAAATACAATTAATCCGTTCGTTCGCCCTAGAATTATATTAGTTTTTTTGTTAAATTATTAAACATAGTTATATGTAACTAAAAACTTTAACATAAAATACACAATATAACGTTTGTCGCTGATAGTTGCTGGCACTAGTAGATGATGTAAAGGTGGTTTGAGGTTCTAGTAATTGCCCCTGGTCTCTGAGTAGTGAGATCGGACGTCCTTGTGCATTGTTGCGCACGTAAAAAATCTCTTGGCAGTTGGAAATCGAAAAGAGTAGCCTAACGGCGCTGCCCAGGAAAAACTTGGAGTGAAAAATCTACCCAAAGTATTTCAGGATCCTCATAGGTACTACAGAGCCTGTGCACTGTGCTGAGCTTCTTCGGACTCAGACCTGAGTTAGAAGAAGAACGGAGAACTTATGGGTTACTACTTGTGTGCCATAATGTCGATCCGTTGTTCAAACCTCAAACTTCACTCAGAGGAAGGGCAAGACGTACATACAACGAGACCTCGATCGGTACCGTTAGTATTGGAACTTTGCCCTGGCTGTTGAGGATGGGGACAGAGCGCGTATGGGAAGGCCCTGAGTGTTGTGATGTCAATTCTTGACTCAGCTCAACTCAACTGGTGCTCCCCCCCCCCCCGGCCTTGTTTGTATCTTGTGAAGCGGTTTGATTGCTATCTCCATTGCTAACACAATAATTTTGCTACTTCTTCTAACACGTGAGATCTCTTCTTCAGTAACATTCACTCCGTTAAAACACCATCAGCCGTCTTTAGCGCAACTTTGTTGCTGATGATAGTACAGATAGTAAATTTAGTCACGCTTGCCAAGATCAGAAACACGAACATCATTCTCATGTTTGGTTAGTATTTCCCTGATCGTTTCTACCGTTAATCCGATTAGGCTTCTTTGCACCACTGTCACTTAACGTTTTCACTTTCGTTGAAGTCATAATGAGTGTTAGAGTTGTTCGGAAATTGTGTTCTTGTCTTAAGGCGTTCATGATCTAATGTACCATCTGTCTGTCGGTCTGTCTGTCGGTCTGTCTGTCGGTCTGTCTGTCTGTCTGTCTGTCGGTCGGTCGGTCGGTCGGTCGGTCGGTCGGTCGGTCGGTCGGTCGGTCGGTCAGTCGGTCGGTCGGTCGGTCTGTCTGTCTGTCTGTCTGTCTGTCTGTCTGTCTGTCTGCATGCCTGCCTGCTTGTCTGTCTGTCTGTCTGCCTGTCTGATTGTCTGTCTGTCTGAGACAGAAGGTTGTAGATAAACACGACTACCAGTGCCATACGGCATATACTTTAAGAATATATATATATATATATATATATATATATATATATATATATATATATATAAGCAGGTTCTGCATGAGCATTTCATCTGCCATAGTTGAGACACTTTCGTCTCACTTACATCTTTCAGCTTACAAGAGCAGATAATTTATATCTCTTCTCTATTTGTAATCTTCTTATGAAAAGCTCTGAAATGTGCCCCGAGTGAAGTGAAATTCATTTGTTGTATCTGTGTGCATATGCACTCACGTATGGCACTGCCCCAAGAAAGACATGCAGTAGTAATAAAAACATGCCAAAGCAGCAACACAAATAAATATGACTTTCATACCTGGCAACACAACAATTTGGCAAGCAGATTTTAGTGTTCAGTTTTGGATGTGCTACCACAAAGGTCTTATGATTAAAACACAAACAAAAAACACTTCAAGATATATTTATTGACGCGGAAACATGGGTGCTGAGTTACTTTGCAAGGTATGTAAGTTTTACCCCACTAGGACATCACACAGGGCGATTAACAGCCGGTGACACAAAGTGCTACAAGGCGGATGAGGATCACCCGTCGGGATATCCTGGAGACCCTGTTCAACCGTTAGGTTATATTAGGGCCCCCGGCAACAGCCAGGGTGGGGCTTTAAAATAACGAAAAATTTCGTCCCAGATGGGGACGACAAATTAGAGGAAGCTGATTGGTTTCTCCTAAACACGTATAGCAGTTTTCTGTAAGTATTTTTTTTTCATAGTATGTAAAGATACATAATAATTATTATTGCGCATCTAAACAAGGCTAAGTTTTTTTTGTGAACCGCTTCCCCCTCCCTCAGACAATTATATTTCAGCTGAGATCAATCCCGAAATATTTTTTAAATGTGCAAGCCTACAAATAAATGTGAAATTGCGACTGTTGCTGCGCTAAAATCAAAACAATTATATGTCATTAACAAGACAATCAGTTAAATCCAAGAGCCCCTAGAACGACAAAGATTTGTGCTAAGAGCCCCTAGACCCACAAAGATGTGAGCCAAGAAGAAAGGTTGCTCGCTCGTTGATAGTTCACATGAATGCTACCATCTGCTTGCCATCCACACAGCTGATGTAGTTTTTTTTTTAGTGCATGATATTTTATTTGTTTACATACAGCGAATTTTTCTCTGATGTGTTTACCCTTGTTGCTGTTGAATGTCAGATCGTCATTTCCATCGCCAACACGATCCTCGTCTTCCACCTCCACAATCACCACAATCACTGCTATAAAGTACACACATTTATGGTACTTCACTATCAGCCAGCAAACTTAGTCATCAGCCGGTACCTCCCACACAAGAGGTGACGCGGACAGGAAACCGTGAGGTTCCGAGAAGGTCATTCCACTTAACCCTGGGAGTAATCAGAAGTCTACGATGAAGAAAGCAGAGAAGGTCGTTAATCTTTAGATTGTTAGTTGATGCCGGTTCATTCATAAGTTTTTTTTTTCTCTTGATATCGTAAATCATACAAAATTTGTCTCTGCTTCAGCAGATCCAATCAATGAATGGTCTTGAATTGCTGCTTGCAGTGTGTCTTGTGTTGATCTTGACAATGGTTTACAGAGCTGACGGTTCTGACAGCCATGGACAAGTACTGAACTTAAAAATGTACCTAAAATACATACATGCATACATTGATTTGTGTGTGTGTTTATTTGGCATACATACATACATACATACATACATACATACATACATACATACATACATACATACATACATACATACAGACAGACAGACAGACAGACAGACAGACAGACAGACAGACAGACAGACAGACAGACAGACAGACAGACAGACAGACAGACAGACAGACAGACAGACAGACAGACAGACAGACAGACAGACAGACAGACAGACAGACAGACAGACAGACAGACAGACAGACAGACACACAGACACACAGACACACAGACACACAGACACACAGACACACAGACACACAGACACACAGACACACAGACACACAGACACACACACACATACATACATACATACATACATACATACATACATACATACATACATACATACATACATACATACATACATACATACATACATACATACATACATACATACATACAGACAGACAGACAGACAGACAGACAGACAGACAGACAGACAGACAGACAGACAGACAGACAGACAGACAGACAGACAGACAGACAGACAGACAGACAGACAGACAGACAGACATACATACATTGATTTTTATGTGTTTTTTTGGCTTTCAAGCTGGTGGTTTGGCCGATTACTAAGGTGACTAATTCATTGTTGACTGGTAGCTAAGCCAATTAATTGGTTTCTCTGATTGTTGATTGGTTGTTGGGTGTTGATGAGACTGCTGGTTGTTGAGAGAGAATAGCCTGGCCTGAAAGAACAACTGTATAAGTAATGGCTGTCAGTAGACCGTAGACTATCAATTTTCATGATGAACAATACCGCTATCATCATCATCGTCATCATCAACATCAACATGAAAATTATATGTCGTGCCGATACGCGTTGGCTGTCACATTTCCGTATTTCACACAAACACCAGAATCACAACGGTAAAGCTCAGTGTTCTTGTCTCGCCCCCATCCAATATGGCTAAGCCACAATGAATGAACTAAACCAACAATTGTCTCTCTGTCAAAAGGATGCGCCGAGGGACTATGGGGAGATAAATGCCTGAATCTCTGCTCACCTGGATGCTTTTCCGGTTGTGAAAAAGACAGAGGGAAATGTATTGGGGGTTGCGGTCCTGGATGGACGGGAGACAACTGTGATTTAAGTAAGTTATTCTGTATCTTGTGGATGTTTGTGGCATTCATGTAAATTTACTGTTTTATTATGTGTTTTTTACTTGGACATTAACAAAAGAACATGAGAGAAGACTAACCACCTGTGAAATGAGATGTTTGAGAATGGCTGCGAATAAAACCAGAAGAGATCGATTGAGAAACGATGTGATCACAAGAACTATTGGAACCATACCCATCGTTAAATTTATTGAGAAGCAAAGAATGAAATGGTTTGGTCAACTTATGAGAATGGAACCAACGATGCCAGCATCAAGAGCATACAACATGAAAATCGAAACAACAAGAGGCAGGGGAAGACCAAGAAGAAGATGGATTGAAGGAGTCACGGACAACTTGAGACTTCATAACATCACGGCATATGAAGCGACTGAGCGCGCTCTGGCTCGGTTGCCGATCATCTGATAGACTGCGACGCCTAGCGGCACAAGCAGATTTTGACAAAAGAAGAAGATTATATGTTTTTGAGGTTTTTGAACAACATCAGGGCACATAGGTAGTAACTTATCAATTCTCCGTTCTTCTTCTAACTGAAGTGAGTCCGAAGAAGCTCAGAACAGTGTACAGGGTCAGTAGCACCGGCGAGGATCCTGAAAAAACTTTGGGTAGATTTTTAACTCACAATTTTTCCCCGACAGCGCCGTTAGGTTTTCTTTTCGATTTCCAACTGCCAAAGTATTTTTTACGAGCGCAACAATGCACACGGGCGTCCGATCTCAATACCCAGAAACCATGGAAAATTACTAGAAGTCCAAGTCCACTGTCATATATAGTGTGTAACAAGAGTGAAATACAAACGAATCGGATATTTGTCATTGTAACTTCTTCTTCAAGTCCATGCTGTGTGGCGCTAGTAGTCACGTCCATCCACGGCCTTATGTCTCGTGTACTTCAAATCAACTCTGACACAATGATCCTCCATGCCATGATGTCTGACTATCCAGCATATTTTCTCTCGGTCTCCCTCTACCTCCCCCCCCCCTTTCCCCCTCCCCTCCAACTTTCCTACTGTCACGATGTACTCCAGTTTTCTCCTTCTCTTTCTCCTTCTCATCATATGACCAAAGAATGTCGATTGTCTCTTTCTGATGTGGACAATCAGTTCTCCTCGTGAGTCAGTTTCTTTCAAGACGCCCTCGTTTTATCAGTTTCTTTTCATGGAAACAAAAGCAGTCTAATACAGAGGTTCGGGAAAGACTGCCAGTGAAAAGATGATTAATGGAAAAAAAAAATAAAGAGACAACTGAAATATTTTGGCTAGATTAACAGATATACCACTCTTTTAAAAATTGCACTGGAGGAAAAGGTCGAGGACAAGAGAGCAAGAGGTAGGCAACGATACAAGCGGGGGGAGAACATCAGGAGAGAGACGAACAGCAGTCTGAGACAGTGAAGAATCAATAAAAGGGTGTTGGAGATCCATTGAAGCCCCACCCTTTACTGTGGATACGGTTAGTGATCGATTGATTGTAACAAAAGTGTTTGTTACGACGTTGTTTAAAACGGTTTCATGTGATATTCTTTATGTGGGATTTATCTCTTTTTCTCTAATGTTACCCACATGGGATTGCATTATATACAGTTTACATCTCAAGGATAAGAATCAAATTGGTAGAAATCCAAGAAAACCCGTCAGCCTGACAGAATGAGAGTTCCGTCCTTCCGTTATATCCTGTCCTGGATGCTTCCAGAAGATCTGACCACCCAGAAATCTTATTCTGGATTGCGAGCCGACAGGGACAGTCCCAGATACCCCGTTCAATGTCTAAAAAGGTTATAATTGGGGCACTTCTTCTTCTTCTGTCTTTCTATTCATCAATGGAGCATAGGCCCTCAACCAACTCACGCCAAGTCGTTCTATCCTTCGCCATTGCATGGAGCTCTCACCATGTCCTCCCCATCTTTCTAACTTCATTAGGGTAAAGGGGTTATAAATGGGGTACTATTAGGGTAAAATGGTTATAACTGGGGCACTGGTAGATTAAAAATGTATAATTGGGGCACTATTAGGATTACACTAGCCAGGTGTAAAAAGGCTTCCTGTGCGTATATGCTGTAATAGACTACATGTATTTGTTTGTTTAATTCTTTTCTTTATAGTCGTAGTCTTTCTACAATCGCAGTCTGTAGGATTAACATCTCATGAACGAGAATCAAACAGGCAGAGATCCCAGAAACCCCGTTAAATCGAATCTTCTTTGCGTTCACTGACTGTAAACTCTGGTGGAAAGTTCTGGTTGTTCGTCCACTGGACTTGTGTCTTGTTCCAGAAGTTGAATTTTGCTGCACAACCATTTTACAGATCTGACTCAAATTGTATGCAGGCTGATGGTTTCTTCCCTCCAGGCAGAGGCACTCCGACTTACAAGAAAACACCTCTAATAAGATAATACTATACACCAGTCCTTAAGAAAGAGAATAGGGGCTTTTGAGCTGAAATGGTATAGAAAGATTCTCAGAATATCTTGGACAAAGAAGATGAGAAATATTGACGTCTTAAAAGATCTGAACATCAAGGAAGATTTGCTAATAAGCAGTATCCTTTCTCGACAGCTGAAATATTTTGGTGATATCAAGCGCCACAACTAATTGGAATAAATTATAGCAGAAGGCATGGTACCAGGAAGGAGGAGCAGGGGCCGACCGACACGAAGATGGGCACAGGATATAAGTGACCCCTTGAGTGTGAAAGTGCATGAGGCGAGAGAACTGGCGAGAGACCGAGTTTCTTTCAGGCACACTGTGATGAGAGCGACGTTCTGCAAAGGCCCTGCTCATGATGATGATGATGATGATACGCCATACTATCGGCTCTGTGAATAAGTCCATGCGAACGCTTCGTAATGCCGGGGTGCCGGGTTCGATCCCAGCTGCGGGCCATGTGCCTTGCGTTGGTTTCGACAGTGGGATCAGGGGGCCGACCGTTCGGTAGGCAGTGAAAAACTACTGGACGTAAATTTGCCTAAAGAAACCACACAACAGCCAGGGGCTTCTAGGGTTGGTTCTGCAACGTCCTGTAAAGGATACGCAACTAACCATATGCCATACTTGTTAGTTAGGAGGGCCGTCTGTTTATTTTTATTCACCCAAAATATCGTCCCCGAACCTTTACAAGAAGTTCAGTAGTGTAACACAGCCACGACTACGAAGTGTCGTGCAGTTCATATCGGATGTGTTTGTAAGTTGTAGGAGTTTATCGCTAACTACCAGGGGATCATTTCACAACTTACTTGATATACAGAAGTGAGTTATGGACACTTGGCCAAAAAGGAAGCGTTATGGGGAGGTGGCGGTGATATGGTTCTATAGTTGATGAGAACACACTAGACAGAAGGGAAAAAAAAAGTAATGAAGATGCCGTGAAAGAAATCGATTCGCAAAAAGAACTGATTGTCCATTATCAGAAGGAGACAAGTCTACATTCTTTGGTCAAGTGATTAGAAGTAGAAAATTGATGTATATCGTGACGGTGGCAACGTTGGAAAACAAAAAGTATCATGTTTCATTTCAACGTGTCCAAGTTTAAGTTATTCATCCATGTACTATCATGCTGTGCCATTATATGTCACCTGCCGGGTCGAACGTCAAAGATTCAAAATTTCTTCGAGGTGGATTTTGTTTTGCTTCTAAATTTACATTGGCTCCCAGGCCCATGCAGCTTAAAATGGGCACCAGGTAATGTTCTGAGAAGTAAAGGCGGCCGGTGTGTTGTGGAACACTTCACCGATAAAGTATCGATTGGTCTTTAAAATATATAGATCTAGCACTGTATCTGTATAGTAGGAGCCGTCGTGGTGTAGCAACTAGATCCTTGCCCGTGGGCCTGAAGGTTGTTGTTTCAAATCCACATGGAGCTGTTTTTTTCTTTGGTTTTCAGGTTGACTCAACCTTAAATGGGTACCCTGTATGTAAAGTTACAGAAAGTAAAGGTGGCCGGCGTGATGTTAACCGCATAACCACCCGAGCTCCGATTTATCTAAAAAAATATAGTTTAAGCACTATATGCACAAAGGGAGTCGTCGGGGCGTAGCGGCTAGACGCTCGCTGTGGATAGGAATGTCATGAGCTCGCTCCCTAGCGGAGCCGGACTTTTTTCAAAACTGACCTTGGTTCCCAGGTCGACCGAGCCTTGAGTGGGTGCTAGGTGCAGTCCTGGGAAGTAAAGACGGCTGGCGTGATGCTGATCTCATCACCCATCTTGTGCTGTTGGTCTACAAAATATAGGTCTAGCCCTATATACCCAATACATCTGAAAGGCATGGAAAAGACTCATTTTCTTTACTTTTATTAATTTTTGAACTTTACAAATAGAAAATTCGACAAAGGCGTCAGAAAATTCATTTAGTTAACTTTATTCACTACTCACATAGCAATAAGAGATTGTTTCGTTTCAGTGTGTCCAAGTTTTCGGTACGGCGTGAAATGTCTGGGCAGCTGCGGTCACTGTCATGACGACAGTCCATGCAACATCGTCACCGGGCGGTGCAGTGACGGTTGTCTGGCGGGCTTCTGGGGTGACCGATGTGATCAGGGTGAGTGTTTGATTCATTTGTAGCATAACTTGTTTCATTGCTTGATTCATGTGTAGCATAACCTGGTTTAATGTTTGATTCACGAGTAGCATTGGTTAAGTGTTTGATTCATGTGTAGCATAACTTGGTTTAATGTTTGATTCATGTGTAGTATAACTATGGTTAGTGTTTGATTCATGTGTAGCATAACTTGGGTTATTGTTTAATTCATGTGTAGCATAACTTGGGTTAGTGTTTGATTCATGTGTAACATAACATGGGTTAGTGTTTGATTCATGTGTAACATAACTTGGGTTAGTGTTTGATTCATGTGTAGCATAACTTGGCATGCTGAGCTCTAACAAATAACGATAAATTTCAGCTTCGAAAAGAAACATCATTGACACCATTGAACACTTTATAAAGATGCAAGCAGTGCAGTACTCATTTAAAATAACATAGGCAAATTTTTCAAGACCAATGTGGGAGTGAGACAGGGTTGCATACTGTCCCCAGTCCTTTTCCATTTGTATTTGAAACACATCACGAGAGAAAGACTAGACAATTATGAAACATCTCTATTCATCGGAAGACAACTGTGTAATTTACGTTTTGCAGACGACATAGATCTCATTGCTAATTCCGAAACAGAACTCCAAGAACTTACTGAAAAATTAGAGACAGTCTGTCGTAAATATGGCATGATAATTAACGCCGAAAATAGCAAGACTCTGGTAAACAGTCACAATAGTCAAGTACCTACCAAAATACAGAAAAAAAGGACAAAAACTAGAAGAAGTTGAAATCTTTGAATATCTTGGCTCCCTCATATGCAATGATGCCAGCTGTAACAAAGAGAAAGACTTGATATGGCAACAGCCGCGATGTCTCAGCTGGATACGATGTGGAAGAGCCAAATCAGCATCGCAGTCAAGGTCAATATTTACAAATCACTGGCTGGATTCTCACTGTGGAAATGGAAAGGAGGATTCAGGCTTTCCAATGTAAATGCTACAGACGCATTTTAAGAATTACTTATTTCGAACACAAAATTTAAAAAATATTTCAGAGACAAAATATACAAATTTACGGGACGTCAGGAGCCTCTCTTGGCAGTGGTGAAACGTCGCAAGCTAGTTTGGTTTGGGCATGTGATGAAACACGATACGATTGCAAAAACCGTACTTTAAGGAACATGGGGGGGGGGGGGGAAGAAGGGGGGGGGGGGGGGTGTTGGTCGAAGAAGAGAAGGGCAAAGAAGACTGGAATGATAACATCAAGAAATTGATAGGACTAAGTTATTATACACTTATTCAACAAGAGTAAGACAGAGAAAGATGGCGGGTTTTATGTGCTAGTGCACCTCTACGACCCTAATTGGTGAAGCGTTATGTTATTTATGTATGTTTACTTTAGTTAGTGTTTGATTCATTTGTAACATAACTTGGATTAGTGTTTGATTCATTTCTAACATAACTTGGATTAGTGTTTGATTCATTTCTAACATAACTTGGATTAGTGTTTGATTCATTTGTAACATAACTTGGATTAGTGTTTGATTCATTTGTAACATAACTTGGATTAGTGTTTGATTCATTTCTAACATAACTTGGATTAGTGTTTGATTCATTTGTAACATAACTTGGATTAGTGTTTGATTCATTTCTTACAAAACTTGGATTAGTGTTTGATTCATTTCTAACATAACTTGGATTAGTGTTTGATTCATTTGTAACATAACTTGGATTAGTGTTTGATTCATTTCTAACATAACTTGGATTAGTGTTTGATTCATTTGTAACATAACTTGGATTAGTGTTTGATTCATTTGTAACATAACTTGGATTAGTGTTTGATTCATTTCTAACATAACTTGGATTAGTGTTTGATTCATTTCTAACATAACTTGGATTAGTGTTTGATTCATTTCTAACAAAACTTGGATTAGTGTTTGATTCATTTCTAACATAACTTGGATTAGTGTTTGATTCATTTGTAACATAACTTGGATTAGTGTTTGATTCATTTCTAACATAACTTGAATTAGTGTTTGATTCATTTCTAACATAACTTGGATTAGTGTTTGATTCATTTCTAACATAACTTTAGTTAGTGTTTGATTCATTTCTAACATAACTTGGATTAGTGTTTGATTCATTTGTAACATAACTTGGATTAGTGTTTGATTCATTTCTAACATAACTTGGATTAGTGTTTGATTCATTTCTAACATAACTTGGATTAGTGTTTGATTAATTTCTAACATAACTTGGATTAGTGTTTGATTCATTTCTAACATAACTTTAGTTAGTGTTTGATTCATTTCTAACATAACTTTAGTTAGTGTTTGATTCATTTCTAACATAACTTTGGTTAGTGTTTGATTTATTTGAAACATAACTTGGATTAGTGTTTGATTCATTTCTAACATAACTTTGGTTAGTGTTTGATTTATTTGTAACATAACTTGGATTAGTGTTTGATTCATTTGTAACATAAGTTTGGTCAGTGTATGATTTATTTGTAACATAACTTGGGTTAGTGTTTGATTCATTTGTAACATAAGTTTGGTCAGTGTATGATTTATTTGTAACATAACTTGGGTTAGTGTTTGATTCATTTGCAGCATAACCTTGCTTGGTATTTGAATAATAAATTACTTGGACTGGTATTTTTTTTTTCTGTTTTCCGTTTGGAACATAATTTGTGTTAGTATCTATTGAATTTTCCACATAATTTCAATTAATATTTGATTATTTTGTATTATAACTTGGTTTAGAAATTAATTCCAATTTAAAGCAAAGAATAGGGGGAAGGAGGAGGAGAAGAAGCAGAAGAAAAATTGAAAACGAAGAAATAGAAGAAGAAGAAGAAGAAAAAGAAGAACAAGAAGAACAAGAAGATCAAGAAGAACAAGAACAAGAAGAGAAGAAGAAGGACGAGGAGAAGGATGTGGTGGAGGAAGAGGAGAAGTAAAAAAGAAAAGGAGATGAGGGGTGTGAAGAAGAAGACGAAGGTGAACGAGAATAATAATAATAATAATAATAATAATAATAATAATAATAATAATAATAATAATAATAATAATAATAATAATAACTATTTAAACAAGTTAATGAGAGATCTAGCAACATACTTGTTGAACTAATAAAATCAACCGGTAAAATGGTAACACCCGCCTGGAAGTAACAATGATATGCTAACATTTATTTGGAACAAGTAGAGTTCATGACATTGTGGATATCTTGCTGTGAAATGAACTTGTCCCGGTAATAACGGCAGCGCCTGGTGGCAAGACCAAGTGTACTTCAAATTATGAGACTTCGTGCTCATTGGCAGCAACAATTTCGATTCCTGGATCAGTAACTCTCATCATAATTCTCTTCGTCATCATCATCTTTATAATTAATTTAAACATCAAATAGGGCTGGAAGTCCAGCACTCCATTCACATCTATCCCATGTCAATTTCAGAGGAAAAACGATGGGGGTGGGTATGGGGAGAAACACCGCCTTGGTGGGAATTCTAATCGCCACGTGACCACGGCTTCTAATGTCGAAATAAAACCACTCTCAGTTTATTTCTACCTGTTCAGTACCTCGGCATTTGCACGTTAATGAAATTCCCATTGTCTATAAAACTGTATGGTATTCCCCCTTCCTTCCCCCACCAAAACGTCATTGTGAATAGAAATAAACAGACGGAAAACAGCGTGTATAGTAAACAAATAGACATGTATTGATAAGCACTTATAGTAAGAAGTATACAGATAGAAGGACAATAAGACAACATACACATCGCAAACTATAGGTACCATATCAAGAATGGAATCTGTTACCTCCAAATGATGAGGGTTCTTCGCTGCAGGACCATTATATTAGGACTCATGACCAGCCGCGCACCCCTGAAACGGTGTCCTCATTAGCCACGTCTACCATACAGCTTGCACCCAGAAATATGGATTTGAGACAGAACTGGTCTCAAACGATTGCATAGTCTCGCAAGTTACATAGGTTTGAAGTTTAGGGTTTGAGGTTTAAGGTTTGAACAACGGATCAACGCCATGGCACACAGATAGAAACTCATAAGAGCTCCGTTCTTTCTTCTAACTCAAGTCTGAGTCCAAAGAAGCGTAGCACAGTGCACATGCTCTGTAGCACTGGCGAGGATCCTGAAATACTTTGGGTAGATTACTCTTAATTTTTGCCTGAGCATCGCCGTTAGGCTGCTCTTTTCTGATTTCTAACTGCCACGGAATTTTTTACGCGCACAACAATGCACACGGACGTCTTTATCTTACTACCCAGAGACCAGTTAACATAAATGCATATTAACTCAGCATAGGTCTAGTAACAAACACAACAACAGTTATAAACCTATCGACCGGTAACAGGTTTTTTTTTGTTTTATTACCTTTTTGTCATTCTATGTTGCAGTATGCAAACCCTACACACACGGGGTGAACTGCAATCATAGCTGTGGTCACTGCCAACACAACCTCACTTGTAACGCGATGATTGGCTCCTGCTCCGATGGTTGTGCTCCCGGTTGGCTGGGCAGAAATTGTAACGAGGGTAACTATTTATTTGTTACTGTTTGTTCAATTCTGCGATTTTAGTGTATACCACAGAGGTTTTTGAAATTCAAGGCGAGATTGAGCGAAAATAACTGACTGACTGACATTCTACCCCACCAGGATATCACACAAGCGATAAACACCCGATGACACAAGTGCCACCGTGTGGATGAGGATCACCGTGGAGAGGTCCCAGAAACCACGTTCAGCCTTTATGCCATATTTATGGCCAGGCTATAGTGCGGCCCCTGGCAAAAACCAGAGTAGGGCTTCAAATAATGAAAAACTTTATCCTAAAAAGGACGGGAAATACATATAACGTTGAGCGAAAAGAGTGAGTGAGTGACTTTCTACCCCACTAGGACATCACACAAGCGATAAACACCCGATGACACAAAGTGCCACCATGCGGATGAGGATCGCCGTGGAGATGTCCCAGAAACCGCGTTCAGATATTTGGCCATATTTATGGCCTGCCTATATTGCGGCCCCTGGCAAAAGCCAGGGTGGGGCTTCAAATAACAAAAAATTTCGTCCTCAAAAGGACGAAACATTTTTTTTCATGTGTTAAAGCGAAAAGAACGAATTCAAAGAGCTTAAATGGCAAAGTCACTGGCAAAGTCGAAGTGCTAAAATGGCAAAATCAAAGATTCGTACCAACCAATAACCAAAAACAGTTAAATACCATCACAATGAAATCAACACACACAAGTCTAACAAAGATCTATCTATAAAAGGAGCCGATCCTTCGGTTCTGAGCAACCTAAACTCTTTAGAAATATAGAAAGAAAGTCGTAAGTTTTATGGCTGGTTAACTTCCCTTTGAGAAGTTGGCTTCTAAATATGGCGAATAAATTAACTTTATTTTTAAAGGGTCAGTAACTGGGCACTCACGACTGACTTACCTTCGGCCATTCTAAGTCCTCATCTTTCACACAGCAACTGTATTTTATCTTTAAAGCACTTATGCCCATATTTATATATTGAATCTTGAATCGGATGGGTAATAAAGCAGGTTTTTGTCACTAATAATAATTCTGCCTTTAGTGCGTTTGTTATAGCTATAAAAAAAAGTTAGTTGCGTATCCTTTACAGGACGTTAAAGAACCAACCCCAGCAGCCCCTGGCCGTTGTGGGGTTTCTCTAGGCAAACTTATGTCCAGTAGTTTGCCATTGCTTACTGGACGGTCGGCCCCCTGATACCACCGTCGAAACCAACGCAAGGCTGGGATCGAACCCGGCATTACGAAGCGTTCGCATCGACTTAGCCACAGAGCCGACTATAGCTCCATAGAGAGCCAAAATCGTCAGACATGCGGGTAAAAAGAGAACTCACATTTCCATATGTACATCAGAACATCAAAACGATAGGAAACGTGATGCATATTTCAAATTCCCTCGAACTGTACAAGAAACAACTTTAGACTAATCTGCTACAAAACAAAAACAGTACAATTTCTAGTTCCCAAGAGAACATTCATAAGTAGGTATACCCACTAATATACACCACTCAAAACTCATGCAGTTGGATTTTCGTTCTCAAAATACAATCCTAATTCTCCAGGTCGCTTAGCCTGTAATCGGTGTCAGACAAAGTCCTTGAAAATAAAGGCGACCACATCACTTACCGAGTGTCCGTTGGTCTATAAAATATAGGGTTGGCCCGATATAACCAATTTGCGTTGAAAACGGCCATTTACTTTTCGTTTATTCATTTTAAATGTGTCGTGTGCACCGCTGTAAGAAGATCATAGCACATAAGCTTGATATTTTACTTGCACCTGTGCCCTAAAGACAGTTTATTCGACAGTAAATCAGCTTTCTTCGTGTTAAATTCACACATGTTTATATTTAGCTTTTCATTCAGATTCCCCCCATCTGATTTACAACACATTTGCCCTGAGCAACGTCTGGGTCTGCATGTAGCTCCCTCGTTCCTTCTTCAAAGTCCTCTCTCCTGCAAATTATCAATATACAACTGCCTTGATGTCGCTGGCGTCTGCAGCAAAAAAGAAAAAGAAACAAGCCATGTTGACCGTGATTTCTTATATCGCCCGTGAAGGTCAAGGGCACGGCTCATGTTTGACAAACGATATTTGTGACCTTTTAGGTCATGGGAATTTAAAATTTGGTATTTCTGAAAGGTTTAAATTACTGGACCTGCCATCAATAATTTAATTGAATGAATAATACGGGGATTTATACTGGATGTATACGCCTGTTTTGTTGCGGCGTGGTCATTAGAGCTCTTGCTTGCCAAGATAGTGGTCTTGGTTTAATCGCCATCAGTAAAGTTAGTTAGTTAATCGACAGGTTATCCTCACTGCACATTGGACAAATCCATAAGCACTGGATCAAATCTTCAGTATATCCCTCAGCTTGTGGATACAAATAATTCCAGTACTGTGTTGGCTTACTATTCGTCGCTGGCTACCTGTATAGTGTTTATATCTGTTGACCCCCTATTTTGACATGAATTTCTTGTATTTTTTTTAAATCATGTCTATTCACCGTCATTTGCCGAATCATCTTTTCGTCCTACCTGCTTGAGTTTACTGAGAATGTCGACCCGGCCCATTGCTTGTCCTATATCTAGTGTGGCCCTGCCATCAAGCAAATCCGCTCTTTCATTCACGCCTACCCCATAAAGTAAAGTAAATGGCTCTCTTCAACGCCTTCAGACATATTGGGGGGAAAAAAAGGGGGGGGGGGGGTGGGGGTGGGGGGTGTGTAGGACTAGAACTATATTTTATAGACTAGTTGGTACTGGCTGGGTGATGTGGTCAACTTCACGCCGGTGGCCTCTTCCCAGGACTTTAACTGGTACCCATTTAAGACTGGTACCCATTTAAGACTGGTACCCATTTAAAACTGGTACCCATTTAAGACTGGTACCCATTTTTGTTTAATTTAAAAAAAAGTTAAACCCCGTTTGGACCCAAACCTACCACCTTTGGTTTCACTTGCGAGCGTTCAGCCGCTTGACTACGGCGGCTTCCAGTCACCAATAGAAAAAGAAAAGGACCCTTTTCCATGCCTTTAGGCGTAGAGGTCATATATGGCTTGACCTATATTTTATAGACCAACAGCACAAGATGGGTAATGTGGTCAGCATCACGCCGGCCGCCTTTACTTTCTGGGACTGCACCCGGTACCCACTCAAAGCTGGGTCGACCTGGGAGCCAAGGTCATTTTTGAAAAAAGTCCGGCTCCGCCAGGGAGCGAACCCATGACCTTCCGATCCGCGGCGAGCGTCTAGCCGCGCCGACTCCAAGTCACCAACAGGCAGGATTATATTTCTAATTACTGCTCTGTGGCTCACTCACACTCCTAGAAATTGATACCAGTCACTTGCCAAGAACTGGGAATTGTGTGGGAAACAAAAGGCGATTAGGAAAAGAATTTACCTATCCTTTCTTTTAACAGGTGGCGTCCGTGGCTTAGGCGTTTCAAGTCCGACTCGTAATTGTAACGTACCGCGATCGAAACCCACTGCTGACTGCGTGGATTTGTATCAAGGTATGGGGTGTCGCAGGTCGACTCAGCCTAAAATGGGTACTAGGATAGATATCCTAGGGATGTAAAGATGGCTGGCGTAATGCTGACCACACTACCTACCTAGTGCCGATTGGTCTGTAAAAATACGGGATGCTCTTATCATGTGCCCGATGCGCCTAATGCGTGAAATGGGATCTTTACTTTATTTTATCTTGTAGCACGGGGCACGAAATATGTGAAAACCTAATCCTTTGTACATGGATTATACAATGGATTATAAAACTTATCATTAAAAGTATTTGTTTGCATATTTCATATAATTTCTAACGCAATATTATATTTATTTGCCACTCAGCACTTATTGTTATTATTATTTTATGTTATTATTAATATACTGTTAAAATGGAATGTTAATCATAGGTCTGAACCCCTCCTTCTTGCCTAGACAATTTGTAAGACTACACCCCCCCCCCTCTTCCGCCCGTCTTTAATACCCCTTCCCCTGGATACCAGTAATGGGGCCTAAGAATTAAAAATTACTGTCGACTGGGTGTTTCCTGCATCAACCATCAAGAATCAGTTGATCTATAGAGGTCTAGAATAATTTTTCTGAGGCACCAGTGACGTAAAATTGGTCCTTTACTTCTCTTATTATGTTGGGTGCACTTTTTCTAGACGATATACACGCAATACACCTGAATAATTATGGCGGCCCCGTTTCTCACATGAATTCGTAAATGTCTGATAAGACAGGTATCCAGTGTCGTGTGTAGGCGAGAGATGTTTGAGAAAGTGGGCTTTTCCTGACAGTTTCACGCCAGACCCGCAGATACAAGCTGGGCCTGCTCGGTGTATTTCATGTTGTAAATAATGAGGAGCCAGCTCGGGCTTGAAAGCCGAGAAATGGTGGAAAAGACGGATGAGGTGGAATATAGATTTCCTTTTGATAGTCGTGCTTGTTATACCTGTTAGAACTATCGACAATTAAATTTCTTTATTAATAAATCCAAACAATTCATTAACTTGTGTCTGCGCAGAGTAGAGGGAATTAAATTATATAACAGAATCAATAATGCAGAGTTTGGGAGAGAACAAAACAACTTCCAGTTAAAAAAAAAAGGTGAAGAAAAAAAAAAAAAAACCGCTTGCGTTTGATACGAAGCAAGTTGAGAACACCTGAGAAAATCTTAACCTGAATGTCTTTACACTCGCACCTACAGGTACATATAAATAAGGGGAGGGGGGGGGGACCTCTCTAATATACATGACTAGGGAGTGAAGCTGAAAAGGTTCGGAAGATATTAGGTGAGCTGTATGCGATAGCAAAGAATAGGACCGCTTGGCGTGAGTTGATTGAGGGCCTATGCTTCAAGGGAGATACAGAGCAGACGATAAAGAAAATACGAATTCCCTGTGAGCAAAAAAGACACAAACAGTATAGTGTGCTAGCGGGAAGAAAGAAGCAAGAAAATCACAGAAGTGGGGGAGTGTAATGAATGG